ATAATTCAAAAGTAAGGCCAAAACACGTTCATCCTCTGTAATGCAAATTGTTGTTGCCTTTGTTTCCTTTGGACACACTTCTATTAAATGTCCATCGTTTTCCATTCCTCTAAGACTAACTTCAACTAGATACTCCCACTCCATATAGTTCTCACCATCCCCATCAAGCTTGATGTTAGTGAGTTTTGTGGAAGTAGTAACAAACTCGATAACAAGCTTCTTAGAAATATCTTCAATGCTATTTTAGATTTTCGTCGACATTGTTTAACCAACACAGCATCACACACGATTTTAACTCGAAATTGCACAAAAATACACTGTATCAATGTAGAACACCACCAAAATGCCACACACAATCGGTGAATCCACCAAGCTTCTTTCAATTTTAAAAAAGCACACTGGTCTATCCCACAACTACAACCCATATGATGCCGAAAATGAGAATTTCAAATGCGTATGAAAAAGCGTTTAAGAACATCGATTTCGCTAATCTGCAAATTTCTCCATGATTCGGCCGCTAGAAACTTTTTTCACTCTTTCAACATGCAAAATCAGCCTTCTCTGCTGCTGCCAGAAGGGTTAGAATTTTTTTTAAACTTTTTTTTTCCTTCTGACTATGAACCCTAATAGACTTTAGATACCATGTAGAAAGAGTGAAATAATAAGAATAATCATTCAAATGCGCTACAATGTGTAGTTGCCCTCATATTTATATTAATAAATTAAAAGAGTAGTATATAAAAAATACAAATGGACCAAATTCTTATTAGTAATATAATATTATAATATAATTCTTAATAGTTCTATTTTAATCCCTTAAATTATTTTAGAATTTTACTATGATCATTTAAGGTAGGTTTTTTTTTTCCTGTCTATTTTAGTCTCTTGAGTTACAAATGCTGGATATATTGATCCTATAATTTTGCTTTTGTTATTTTGATCTCTTAAATTACAAATGTAACTTTAGTCTCTTGAGTTATGAATATTAGACATTTTGGTTCTTTAAATTACAAAATAGACATTGATCTAGATGTTCAAATTGTTTAACATTTGCAATTAGATGATAATTGTTTTAGAGACCAGAATGTTTAAGTATCGGTATGTTAAGGAATTAAAATGAAATTAAAACCTCTCACAATTTTGTGAAGTTACATCATGAACGATCACTTCTCTCCCATGTGAGCCTAGTGAGCCCCTTCCAAATTTTGATTGTTGGTCTCAAAACTATATTAAGTTAGAAAGTTTTTCACATTGTTTTGTCCTCATTAATCCTTTTTTTTGGAAAACTCTCCAAGAATGTCATCAAATTAGTAGTATAAGTGTATTTTTTAATTTAACTTTTGGAAGAGTTAAAAACAACAATTTTTTAATTTAATTTTTGGAAGAGTTAAAAACAATTTTAGAGGTGTAAAATTGATTTTGAGGTGTTTGGTTATTGTAAAGTAGAATTGATTTTATTTTTAGAATTGATTCTACTTGAAACTAGAATTTGTAGCTTGAATTTAAACGTGATTCTTACATTAAAATTTACTATTCAACTCAATTTTGCATAGAGTTATCCAAACACAAGTCACTTTACATTCAATTCACTTTTAACTAAATTCAAGAGGCTGCAACTTTGATTGGAATTCCGAGTACCCCTTCTGCTTGGGGATCTTCCACTTCCAATACGCCCATGGGAACACCTTTTTGTCCGATTACCGAGTAAATCGTTCAGACAATTACTCTTTCTGTTCGAGTGAAGTCTTTATGGGTGAAGTCTTACTAATTCCGCAGTTGGTAGGTAAGGGAAGGTTAACATGCACTTCAAAGTTAGAAGAAATTTAGGTTAAGAAACCTCCTCACCAACATCTTTAGTTTAGAGTTATAGAAGGGCAAGGCTTCAAGTGTCGAGTCTGGTGTTGTTAGCTCTTCCTAGCCTGAGAACAAATAGAGAATTTCGGTATTCGATTTCTGACGAAGATTATAATTATTTCTCAGGTATTTTCGAGGAAATTTAGCAAAGGGAATCGACCGAATTGACTTTCCATACTCGTTGAGCGTAAACTCTTTTGGAATTCAAAGTTGTAGGACGTGGAGAAGTTTTTTTTCCCGATTGCCTTTGATGGGAAGGGAAAAACTCAAAAAACAAGTCAATGGTCTTACACTCGAGTGAGATCGGTATTTGAAGAGATTCTAGGAACTTCCAACAAATTCTTTGCCATATTGGTTGTTGTGCAATCTTTCAAACATCTTGGTGCTGTGGTGAAAAAGGCACAATGACTTCCCAATGAAACAACCGAAAATAATGAGGTTTTGACTTATACTTAGGCATATTCGTCCACGGGAGAGAGCGTTTTAGGAAAGGCAAACCAATTCTTCGATCCTACTCGGAATGGATATAAGAACTTGAGAAGTCTCTGGAAGATTCTAGGGAAAGCTAGGAAAAGGCCAAGGACGATCTTCATCCGATGCCCCAAGAGAACCTTGATTTTTCTAAGGATATATCTAGGTCATTACAAGAAGATTTCTTTTTCACAAAGGTTGCTTTTTAGGGTGCCTTGAAGTAAGTGAAGTACTTTCATTCTAACGTTCATGTCTCTTGGGATTAAGTTCATCTAAATCAAGCTATCAAGGACAAGAAATTGATCTCTTAGACGAACTAGCTTCATCCTTTATAGTTTTTAACATGTAAACTTCTTGACCGAATATGAGTTCCTTATCCCGACCTCTTTAAACTCTATGTTGACACATTCCTTCAAGATTCTTTCCCGTGAAGTGTTCAAGGGAGTATACCCGTCAAACCTTGGCCGAGGTATGTGTTCATTCTTTTCTTTGGACTGCCTGGAGTGTTTCTCATATGGTCATCTACGTCTCGCATTCCCCGACACCAGATTACATCCTTCGACTAGTTCTTCATAGTTGATATATGATTGTACTATACTTAACTAACCCTTTAGATTGTGGGCTTCTTTATACCCTAACTTTTCCCACAATGGAAAATCCAGTCTGAGGCCTTTCTCAAAGATCCAACACTTTAGGCTTTCAGTTGAACTTCCAACATCAACCGCCACTTTTGTAAAACAATCAATATACATGCACATGGTTTCCTTATTACCCTGCATGATTCCACTAAGCCCGATCATGGTGGCTGACTTCCTCTTCGTGGCATTGAAATGGACGATGAGTATTTCACACGAGTCAGATCAATAGTCCATGCTTTCGCCTAGAAGGGACTTGTACCAAGTTATGGCTGATTCAATTAGGGTTATTACAAAGAGTTTGCAATTCACGACTTCCTCGACATGATAATAGTCCGTTCGGTCGTATACATGTTCCACGTGCTCATCTGGATCTCTAGTCCCGTTGTAGTTTTGAAGCTTCGAAGGCTTCTTCAATGAATTTGGGATTCTACTATCCAAGATGTGAGCAGACATGAGATTCTTCTTTCGCGTCTCGAAAAAAGTATACTCTTCATACCTTTCCCTCCTTCTAGGGTAGAAAACTTTATGAGGAGTATGACTACCTCCCATTCCTTTGGGATCAGGGGAATGAATACGATGTTCATGTCGTCGACATCCCGGGGACATTTGAACCTCTCATGGATCCTTTATTGGTTCAGGAATGGCAGTTTAATGCGAATCCACCTCTTGTATATTGGTGTTCGTCAGATGGGTGTTGTGTAAACTTTCTGCAATCTGAGTTAGCCTCTCTGCAAAAGCCTATGAGTTTTGCTCCTGAACCATTTGGTGGACGATGTTCAACAATTTGTTGGCTCCATGCACGTCCCGATTAACATGTAAGAGTTGAAATACTAGGTTCGTTTTTCGTCTCCATGCACACCCAGGTTAACATGTAAGAGTTGGAATAATTTCCAAATCGTTCGTATTTTGAGGAGGAAGTGGATGATTCCTAACAGTTACAACGACTTACTGTTGGATGGCAGAGCGAGTTGTTTTGGAAGACGTCATCGTCGACCAATCTGACGGGGAAGAGTTTGAATCTGAATTTGAAAGAATTGACTAGGAAATGGAGATCCACACTTCTATCAAAGGGAACTTAGATTTCTATGAGAGGAGATTCGATAAAATCGAGAGAACATAAATCGTGGAGAATCATAGGAGTCAAAAGTCGCTTCCTATAAACGACATCAATGTTCCATACTGGAACTTGAGATGATCAGAAATAATGAATTCACAATCTATTAAGGTGTTCACGACTTTTGATATTGTGGAGAGGGGGATAACCTGCAATGTTAACACTCAAACACTGAAGTTAGTACGAGAATGAAAATGAAATTTAAATCGAAATGATTTGAATACACGTGAAGTGACGCACTTTCCTCTTTAAATAGAAAAGATGATTGGTAACTACACGCATGTGAAATAGACATGAAATGCAATTAACAGTTAGATTAATCAGAATTATTAACATAACGTTCTCTGGCCATAACACGAAAAAAAATATACTTAATTAACATTCATCAACTTATTACTTCGTAATTCAACCTTCGTCTTCTTAACCTTACAAGACGGTCCAGAACAATTCCATTTTTAATAAACGTGAGAACATCAAAACAATTTATATTTAAAAATTAACGGAGGACAACTAAGCCTATTTTGTTTAAAAATGAAAAACATATTTTAACCTCGAGAAACGATCATTGGTTACCGCGTTTTTTCTCAATAAGAAAAAAGACAAAGCAAGACGTATTGGAAACAAAAAATCCAAAATTGAGGAAGGAATTGGACCCATGTGGCGCTCTCTCTAGAACGAGAATCCATAGACTTTTTGTACACTCTCACCAATCACTCCAATTCCTTTCTTTATATAACTTAATCACCAAGAAATTTTAAAAACTTCATTGTCACCTTTCAATGTGTTGTAGTTGTAGTGGTTGTGAACAAATATTAAAATAATAATCCCTTAACTTCACCCCCTCCTTTCAAAAACCTTACATTAATTTCTCTTCCTCTTTATACCAAAAAAAGCATATATTATAAACTATAATATATAGAAAAATGTTTGATCCACAAAGATACCATTACCAACCCACAATTTCTTTTCCAGTTTCTGATAATATATCATTACAACAAAAACCTCACACCACCAACAACAACGTTCGTCAAACAAAAAACATCAACAATGATCCACATGAATCTGGTATGTGTTCTCCTCCTTTATGGACAACAAAGAGTAGAAGCCTCAACTATAGAAGTCTTTCTCCTGAATCGAAGACAGAAGCCATTGAAAGAGGCCAACGTGAGTTAATGGAAATGGTCAAGAACATGCCAGAGTCAAGCTATGAACTCACTCTAAAAGATCTTGTAGAGGAACAACAACAACAACAACAACATCATCATCATCATCACCATGTTGAAGAAAACAACAACGATAGGGTGGTAAAGCAGAAGAGTTTGAATAACAAAAAGGCAACCAGAAGAGAAGGGATGATGGATAAGAGAAGTATCAGTACTGGTAATAATATTGATAGTGGAGGATTTTATCTGAAAATGGTTTTTCCAATTTCTTTAGGATCATCAAAGAAACAATATAATTACAAGAAGAATAAAGAGTCATTGGTTAATAATAATAACAATAACTCAAAGGTTTCTCCTAGAACATCATCCGTTTCTGATCATGGATCTGTTAATAATAAAGATTGGTGGAAGAAGAAGAAGAATGGTTCAGAATGTGGAGGTGAAAGTGATCATAGCGGTAGCACCAAAAGATCTGCTAGTATCAGTAGCAGTTGCAGCAGCAGGAGTAATACCAGCAGGTATGTTTCTTAATTATCATATAATTACAAATGTTTTTCCTTTAATTATTGAAAATACTATATATAGCATCTAGGGTTTGTTAGGGTTTGTTAAACAATTTCTGTGTCAGACCAGTCCTGACGAGATTAGTCTCTCAGATTAGTCGGTTTTAGAGTGTGATAATTATTTTTGTGGTAAAGAAAGTATGCACGAGTTTTGTGGTGGGTTATTGATTTAAGATGGTAGGTCAAAGTTGATGAGTGAATGTGAACAAATTAAAGGCTTAAAAGGAAAGAGAAATTGATGGAGTAGTATATAGTGGCGTTTCTTTTTAGAACTTTATGTAAATGAAGTCAAATTAATTTTCAAAGCGTGCAGTGTAGTTCATGTGAATCGATAAAGCAAAAGGAACTACAGTTTTGTTTCTTACTAGTTAGTGCTGTTTTATCTGACAGTGTTTTGATTAGACACCAATTTATGATTGTGACTGTGTTTGTGATTGTGGTTTATTGATTAATACTAGTTTTGGTATTGAATGCAGGCATGAAATAAGTGGTAGGAGTTGTTGGCCTTTTACACGAAGGTCTGAGATACTATCACAGAAGTAAGTTTGTTTGAAAAACGTTGAAAATCAAGGTGAGGAATAATGGTGGATCAAAAGCTATATACTACATTTCAGCTTCTGAAAATCACGGTGGGAGGAATTTAAACTCACAGTGCTCAACCAAACACATGCTAAGTGTCTTGTATGATATTATATGGAATATGTATTTGTATCATTGTTATTTGAGATTTAGAGACATGGGAGCATGTAAAACCAAGTATCCAACACTGGATTTGAAATATGTATTTTTATATTTTGTTGACTCATTAAATATTACTAGTTGGGAGATAATATGATTTAAAATGTATTTTGAATCATTCTATTTTTGAAAAAGTTTTGATTCCTCCTTTAAAAAATATCAGTTTTTTGGTCTAAGGTTTCAATTTTTTTTTTTATATGTTTTGGTTCCACTCATTTTTGAATCGATTTTTTAATGTTAGGATGCTTATATGGACAAATTTAAAATACGATATGAATATTAAATTTTTACATTTAGATATCATCTTATCATAAAAATCAACTTTAAAATAGAGGGAGAGATTAAAATTTTTAAAAATTATTGACCAATAAACTTATTTTTAAATTAGAGGAAATAAAATTATATTAAAAAAAATCAAAAGTGTTTTTTAATTCTATGATAATTGTTGTGAATAGAATGTCTTAAAATAAAATATAAACAATTTCTTTATATTCAAGAAACACACAAGCGTTAGAGTTAACAAAAAAAAACAAGAAGAAACAACAAAGGTTGATTATAAACTGCTATTATTTCTTTTATCTATCAAAAAAGATTACAAGTATACAAGAATAACAAATAACCTCTCTCTCTTGAATTATGATTTTATCTTCCTATGTTTCCTTATGCAAGATGAGAGACCAGCATGCTATTTATAAGAAAACTAACACACTAACCTAATGGATTTTTTGACAATTATCCATTACAAGTTAACTTAGGGTACAAGCTAACTTAAACAATTGAGCTTACAAGTAAGGTCAAATTCAACATGCTAACAGCCTAGCAATATTGACGAATGCATATTAGAAGAAACTTCGACTACAACACGCATTACTCGCGAATAGACTTCGACCATACTAGAGTTCGATCCAATATCTCACAAATCTCCACCTTGGATCTAACTCTATAACATCAAGAAACTAGCTTTCTTCATGCAACTTTATCAACTGGATACATTGGAAAAACTTGCAACTGGGCAACATCTTGGTGATCATATCAGCAGCATTATGATCTGTCGAAACCTTCAGCACTTGGACTTCTCCCCGCTCGATTACCCCTCTGAAGAAATGCAGCCTCACATCAATGTGCTTGGTTCGCTCATGATAGGCTGAATTCTTTGACAAGTGTTTTGCACTTTGACTATCACATTTAACAGTGATAACTCGACCTTGATATTTCAGCTCCTTTACAAAACCTTCAAGCCACAATGCTTCCTTCACAACTTCAGTTAGGGCGATATATTCCGCTTCAGTAGTTGATAATGAACGACCTTCTGAAGTGTTGCTTTCCAACAGACTGTTGTCCCAAACATAGTGAACACATATCCAGAAATAGATTTTCTAGAATCCATAGAACATGCATAATCATAGTCGATATATCCTTCAATTGTTGCTTTACTATCTTCAGCCAAGGCTCCACCATAAGTTAGGACTCTATTCAGAGACCCATTTGTGTACCTTAGAATCCACTTCAATGCTTGCCAGTGGATCTTTCTAGGATTCTCCATGTACCTGCTTACAAGACTTACTGCATATGCTATGTCGGGTCTAGTGTAGACCATAACATACATCAAAGAACCCATTATATTAGCATATGGAATGCTATTCATATAGGCTATTTCGAAATTAGTGTTGGGACACTGATTTATACTCAGCTTGAGTTGGGGGTTTGTCGGAGTCACGACAGGCTTTGAATTCGATATACTATACTTTTCGAGAATCTTCCGTAGGTATGCCTCTTGAGATAAACATATTTTCGACTGCTTTCCATCTCTTCAGATGTCAATCCCAAAAATCTTAGATGCAATTCCCAAATCCTTCATGTTGAATTCCTTATTGAGTTCAGCCTTCACCCTCATTACATCTTCGATTTTGTTGCTTGCTATTAGAATATCATCCACATAAAGCAAAAGAATAACAAATAAATTATCAGGTCGAAATCTGAAGTAAACATAGTGGTCGAACTGACTTCTAATGAAACTTATGTGTGCCATGAACTTGTCGAATCTCCTATTCCACTGTCGAGGAGATTGTTTCAGTTCAAATAAAGATCTATTCAGTTTTCACACATAATTTTCCTTCCCTTTTTCGACATACCCTTCAGATTACCTCATAAGAGATGTTTCATCTAGATCACCATACAAGAACACAATCTGCATATCCATCTGTTCTAGTTCAAGGTTGAACTGTACCATCGTGGCAAGCAACATTCTAATGGATTTGTGTTTCACAACAGGAGAGAACACATCATTGAAGTCGACACCTTCTTTCTGAGTAAACCCCCTAGCGAACATTCTTGCCTTGTATCTCTTCGACATCATTCCTTTGATTCCTTCCTTAACTTTGAAAATCCATTTACAGCTGACTAACCTGGCTCTAGCAGGTTTCTTTATCAGTTCTCAAGTATTGTTATCATGAAGAGATTTCATCTCATCATCCATGGCCTTCATTCATTCAGTCTTCTTTTGACTCCTCATAACTTCCTTATAGTATATAGGTTCTCCGTCTAGAACCTCATGTGTAGATATTAAGGCATAAGCTATAAGATCTGCATACCCAAGTCTCTGATGTGGCTTGATGACTCTCCTAGATCTGTCTCTTGCTAGTAGGTAGTCATTATCAACCTCCTCATCTTCGACAACATCTTCTGCATCTTCTTCGACTTCATCTGGGATACTCAATTCAGCATCAACATGCTCCACCTCAACAGGAATCTCTCCCTGTTCCAGCTCTTCGTCAGCATCATCATTTTTCTTGAAAGCCATCTCTGCTTCATTGAAAACTACATCTCGACTGGTGATACACCTCCTGTAACCTGGATCTAGGCACCATAACCTATAAGCTTTGACTCCTTCAGGGTATCCCATGAACATGCATTCCAGAGCTCTAAGTTCGATCTTGTCTTGCCTAATATGAACATAGGCCACACAACCAAATACTCTCAATCTATCGAGACTAGGTGGACGTCCTGACCAAAATTCTTCAGGTGTCTTCATTCCCAAGGCAGTCGAGAGATATCTATTTATCAGATAGGTTGTTGCCGAAACAACCTCCGCCCAAAACACCTTCTTCAATCCAGCACTAACCAACATGCATCTAACCCTTTCAAGAATTGTTCGATTGAATCTCTTAGCTAAGCCATTTTATTGAGGAGTACCTGCTACAGTCTTATGCCTTACAATCCTTGACTCAATACAGTAACTGTCGAACGCTTCGTTGTAGAACTCAAGGTCATTGTCGGTTTTCAACCTCTTAATCTTTCTGCCAGTTTGAGTTTCGACCAGAACCTTCCAACTTTTGAAATTCTCAAAATTTCCATCCTTTGTCTTTTGGATGAATACCCATAGCTTTCTGGAATAGTCATCAACGATGGATAGAAAATACCTTGCACCTGAGTGTGAAGGATTCCCTGCAGGCCCTCAAAGATCAGTACGAATGTAATCTAGGGATCCACGTGTTCTTTGCTTGCCTTTGTTAAATCTCACCCTACAAGATTTACCAAATATACAAGGTTCACAAAACTCCAACTTTTCAACTTTGTCACCTCCTAGTAGGTTCTGTTTCCCCAATTCAACCAGGCCTCTTTCACAGACATGGTCCAATCTCATGTGCCATAATTTTATCTTCGACACAGGTTTCGTGGATGCAACATTTGTCAAACCACTTATAACCTCAACCTCAAGGGTATACAAGCCTTGTTTCTTCACGCCTCTCAAGACTTCTTTCGACCCCTTCATGACTCTTAGGATACTTTTCTCTCTTTGAAAAACATATCCTTTCCTGTCAAATTCACCAAGAGAAATCAAATTTCTCTTCAAATCAGGTACATACCTGACTTCAGTCAATAACCTTATTGACTCATAATGGAGCTTATATCTCACAGATCCAATACTTGCAATTTTGCAAGATTTTTTGTTTCCCAGCAACATCGATCCACCATCTTGATCACATAGCTCCTCAAATAATTATCTGTTTGGAGTCATGTGCCAAGTGCAACTTGAATCCGTAATCCACTCTTTTCTTAACTCACCACTTGAAACCACAAGAACATCAGATGAGTCGAAGTCATCTTGAACAATGGTTGCGTTGCCATTATCCTTACCTTAATGATCTTTTAGGCATTCAGGGCACACCTTTCTTGTGTGACCCTCCTTCTTACAGTGATAACATCGAATACTAGGTTTTTCGCCACTATAAGACTTCTGCTGACTTTTACCTTTCTTCTTGTCGAACTTACCATCCTTTCACAAGAATTTTCCCTTAACGGCTAAACCTTCGCCCACCGTCGAAGGTTTATGCTCCTTTCGTTTGTTCAAGTCCTTAGAATACAAGGCTGATTAAACTTCTTCAAAGCTCAGAGACTCCCTTCCATACAAGAGAGTTTCTTTAAAGTGAGCATGTGTTCTGGGTAAAGCACACATCAACAACAGTGATTGATCTTTATCATCGATCTTCACATCAATACTTTCAAGATCAAGAATCAGCTTGTTGAACATATCCAACTACTTAACCAACACTTTGTCTTCACTCATCTTGAATGACTACAAAGCTTACTTCAGGTATAGTCGATTCACCAGTGATTTGGTCATGTACAAACTTTCAAGCTTCACCCATAACCCCGATGTTGTAGTCTCATTTGATACCTGTCGAAGAACCTTATCACCAAGGCTCAATAATATTACATTGTGGGCTTTCTCGATCATGCCCGTCTTTTCTTTTGCCGTTAACGCAACGTCCATGGCTGCCTCACCCTTCAACGCTTCCAAAAAA